TGGCATGCTTTTTAATGCTTCCTGAACTTTTATTATTCTAGATGTCGACATGCAGGGATTAAATACATTTAGTTTCCTATGGGGCCGGGTTGGCTCCAGGGGTAGAAGATGGCGCACCATGTTTGCTGGTGGAGAAGCAGCTGAGAAAAAAAAGTGTTGATTCAAGAATTTCCTCCTGAAGGTTCTGAGATGCTAACTGTTTGTCCCAGATCTGACCAGCCTCCATCCCTCTTAATGGAAGGAGGCGTCTGGTGGACCTTCAGCCTCCATCCTGGGCAGCTCTGTATTCCTGGGAGGAAGATGGAGGCTGAAAGGAGCAGAGCAGCAGGAGACTCTGCAGACTGACTGTGTTTACAGTCTGTGACAGAGGGCCCCGTCAGAACGCCGGCTCTCATGGTTTGATGGTGACTCGGCTGCACATCGTTCCCTCCTGTCAAAGCAGGAAGAGCAAAGTGGAGCGTTAGCAGAAGGAGCTGCTTCTGCTGCAGGAAGCTGCCAAGAACCAGAGGCTTCAGTCTGCTTTCTGTCATTCCTTCACTGCAAGGAGGAGGTTTAAAGAAACATTTACATTTCAGCAGTTCCATGTTCAGGTGAACATTTCATCAGCACGGATGGAGGAGGGGGGGTTATTACAGAGGGGTCACAGACTTCCTGTTTAGAGAAGGTGACAGGAAGCAGATACAGAAATAGGAAGGATTATATCCAGGACTTCATCCTGCAGCAGACGGACTTATAGATCCATTCTAGATCATTTAAGCCTAAAGGCTGATTGATGGTGTCTATTTTTAATCTGGCATTGTCTGAGTATCTTTGCTGAATATTGTTTTGCTTTATGAAGCGTTGCAAATGTTGCAGAGCAAAGCAGCGAAGTCCCCAGGACGAAGCAGCAGTTTTGATACATTTACAGCCAGAGATTCTAACTCCACTCCTGATGCAGCTGAGCGCCCCACAGGCTGCGCTCCTTCCCCTGGAGGCTCCGCTCCAAACTGGCTCTTTGAAGCAGAGCCAGTTTGGAGTGGAGTTCTGCAGGAGGAGTGGAAATAATCGGAGCGACCTGAATGCTACCAACACATACCAGAACATTAGACTGGAAGGGCTGCTGAGGTCAAAAGGTCAAACTCCTGCGTTTAGGTTCTGGTTTCTGGTCCAGAGTCTGAAACCATCCAATCTGAGCAGCTGGAGGGCGGGGCCTAATGATGTCATCATCATCAGGCCCTTTCCAGGGTTCTGTGGCCCTGTAGGGCTGCTGTCCTGGAGGTGTTAGAGGTTTTCAGCTGTGCTGGAGCAGAGAAACCCCTAAATCTTCCAGGGCAGCGTCCCTCCAGGACGGGTGATGGGGATGCCTGCAGTACAGCATCCTGACGGGCCGCCCAGACCCAGCAGAAGAAAAGGAGACGACAGGTTGATCTGTGGAAATCAGGGAGCATTTATTGATGGGGAGGGGAAAAAAGAAAAGAAAAACTTCCTGAATGAGATTGTCTCCATGATCAATGCCGGACTGTGAGGAACCATTAAACACCAAACCATGATGTCGTCATGGAAACAGAGCAGGTGGAGCATCGATGGCTTGCTAACAGAGTAGCTACACAAAACAAACCAACTTTTTATTCTCATTTAGATGAACTCCTGTTTTTTTTTATTAACATCAAGAATGTTAACCCTTTAGTTAGATCTGAGCTCGTTAGATCTGAGCGAGCTAGATCTGAGCGAGCTAGATCTGAGCTAGTTAGATCAGTTTGTCCAGCCGTTGACCATCAGGGGAAACGGCTCTAGATGTAGTCGTCCTCCACAGGCTCTCCCGGCATGTCGCAGTGATGGAGGAAGAGCACCACCACCCTCTGGAACACTCCTCTCCTGCTCTGCCTGCTCTCAGAGATCTCCTCGCCGATGGTCTCCATGCAGATGTCAGCGGAGAGCTGCCCCTTCCTCCTGGGAGCGTAGATGGTTGCTAACAGAGGAGAGGAGGAGCCATCTTTAGGATTCCTGATCAGGTTCTAGAAGCCACCATCTAAGCCACCACTCACTGCTTTCGTCATCCTCAAAGTCACAGCGCGCGTAGCCGTTTGGGTCGGCGGCCCTCAGAGTCCTCAGCCAGGGGAAGTCTGTGATCATGCTGTAGGGGGCGCCATCCACCACTCCTGAAAAATAAAAGAAAATCTTCCTGAAGGCCTCTGCAGAACGACACCAGGAAAGGTCAAAGGTCAATCAGTGGAGAGATAAACAAGACGACCTTTCAATGGGAGGAAGACGTTCCGCCTTAAAATAAACAGATAAAATAGACACTGCAGCTGTTTTTTTTTTAAATTTAGGTTCTTTGGTAAAGTCACTAACGGTTTCTATGGTGATTTAAAGATAACGACCCTCAACATCAAGCTGAAACTATGGAAATAAATGAAATAAAAATGTTATTGAATGAAGCTTCAACAGTCAACAACCGTCAGAAAAACGGCTGATTTATTCCCTCACTGCTGATCAACAGCATTTTAATCCATCAGGTGTGTTTACTCCTTTTATTTATCAATAGATAAAGATGTTTCAAATTACAGATCATCAATTTTATGATTTCTATTATTTCGTCATGTATTTTATCAGCAGTCTGGGTGTGAAAACTTTCCAGCACAGCTGTGCTTCAAATTACCCTCTAGCGTGTAGATGCCCCGCCCCCAGGGGTATTTGGGATACTTCTTCACATCATCCTCCCTTCTGGTGGTTTCTGGGAAAAACTCGTACTTGATCAACTCCCTGAGGAACAGACAGATGAAAAGCAGTCAGCCAGTCAGTCATCCAGTCAGTCATCCAGTCAGTCAGTCAGCCAATCAGTAACCCATCCAGTCAGTCATCCAGTCAGTCAGTCAGTCAGTCAGTCAGCCAATCAGTAACCCATCCAGTCAGTCATCCAGTCAGTCAGTCAGCCATCCAGTCAGTCATCCAGTCAGTCAGTCAGTCAGTCAGTCAGTCAGTCAGTCATCCAGTCAGTCAGTCAGTCAGTCAGTCAGTAGCTGTGTTTAGAAAACCACAGGAATGTTTCAGGTTAACAGCATAGAAACAGGATTCCAGATCATACAGGTCTGCTCTGTGTTCCAGTAGACTGCTGGTTTCACAGCAGCTCGTTCTGATCCAGGATCAGCAGGTGGCGCTCTAACTCCTCCCCCCGCAGTCAGGGATTCCCACCATACTGGAACATGGAGATATCTTCTGCTTGTTCTGGATCTGTTATTAAAATCCAATCTGTTTCCTCTACATCTTTACCTTCCATGTCCAGAAAGCCACGGTCACTACCCGATCTGTCCTGGAAGCACCATCCGTCCTGCGCATGTGGGAACACAATAAGATCGGGACAGCCGAAAATACTGAAAAGAATGGTCAACTATATCGTCTGGGAAATACTGAAGACTTTTCTGGAAGAAATGGAAACGTGACGTCATCATCGGAGACGCTCAGAGTCACAGTAACGTTCCAAAGGATATTTCGGTACTTTATTTTGTATTGCTTTTTTTGAGTTTTTAAATATACATTATTTGCTCCCTCTGCCATATAATCTGTAAAACTCCCTGCATAATTATAATAAAGCTATTTATAAGCATGAAACAAGCGTAACACTATGGTGATAGCCGTACTGCTCCACTTGTGAAAGTAAAATCTGTTGGGCTCTTTTTGGCATCAAGACAATTATTCTTATTGCCACGTCACCAGATAGGACACTGTAAAAAAAATGCATTATTTGCACAAAAAAAATAAAAGATAAAAAAAAAATCAAAATAAACCCCTGCCAGAAAAAGACAAAAGAAGAAAAAAGTAAGAAATGATTCTGTTCACGCAGGACGGATCGTGCTTCCGGGACGGATCGGGTAGTGACCGCCTCTTTAACCTGAGCAGAGCTAATGCTAACCGTAGCTGCTAATGCCTGCAGGAAGTGCGCCATCTTTTATTTTATGATGTCGTCTATTTGTGAAGATGACTCGCTGCTCCAGGTCAGGAAGGTTTTCGTTTCTATTGTTTCAGCGGCAGCTAGCTATGCAGGAAAAAACGCAAACATTAAATGGCGTGTGATGCGTCCCGTCATGAATGCTTACTGGCAGATGTTGGCTATGGTGTCCATCCAGCTGCGAATGCGAACTTTGTTGCGTATATTTGGCGGGTTGCTGAATTCATGAACGACAGCAATGTGATAAGGATAAGGTCCCTGGAAAAGCTGGCGCTCCAGGGCGACGGAGTCAATCTGAGGACAGAGAAGGGCACAGGTTACCATGGTAACACCATCTAAGGTCAGACCGTGGAAACATCAACATCATGATTTTGAATGTTATTCAAAATACGTTTTTAAGTATCTAAAACTGCATTTTGGATAGGCATTATTATAATTTAGATATCTGAAATTCCAATTTAAAAAGTCTTTTTTGATGTCAAGAATTGGATTGTTGGACATCTGTAATGTTATATTCATTTTTGATATCATAAATAGTAATTATGACTAGCAGTAATTCTATTATAGAGATTTGATATTAGAGTTCATCCTCATCAGAATTCCTTTTTAGATAGAAGAGAATTTGTATTTTAGATATGAAAATATGGTCATTCTATTTTAGGTTAGGAAGAATGTTATGTTAGATATCTGGAAGAAACAGCCCAATACAAATGAATGGGAAACGTGACGCCATGTGTCCTAGTAAGAATTACATTACAGGTAACTGAATATTTTGATGAGGAAGAAATGCTTTTGAGACATCTGGATTACATATTCAGTCAAGGTAATAAATATCTAAATGGCTTGCCATAGTTCTGAGATGCTGTCAAGGAGAAGTTTGAAGCTGGATTTGGATCCATATAGATTTTCCATCTTTAAACATCCCAGTGAGATCTGAGCAGAGATAATACTGAACTGGAAGGAGAATCAGATCAATGGGAATCTATGGAGACCTGCCGTCCCTCTGGATGAACTGCAGAGGTCTACATCTGAGGATGGACACTCTGTCCAAGGGACAACAAACCAGTCTGTGCTGCACAGATCTGGCCTTAATGGAAGGAAGACATTCCTGAAAGACATCCATGAAAAGTTCCCGCCAGCCTCCTGAGAGACACGGCAAACATGGAGGAAGGAGCTCTGCTCAGATGGAACCAACAATTATGTAAAAGAAGCACGGCTGATCACCCTGAACACACCATCCCCACTGTCAGACATGGTGGTGGCAGCATCATGGTGTGGGCCTGCTTTTCTTCAGCGGGGACAGAGAAGATGTTTGAAAATGATGAGAGGCTGGATGGACCCATACATAGGAACATTCTGGAATAAAACCTGCTGGAGTCTGCATAAGAGCAGAGACTGGGACGGAGATTTATCTGATCCAGAACCTGAAGCAGCATCTAGAATGGAACGCTTCAGTTCTACAGTTCTGCAGAGACGATCAGAAGCATTTCCACTAACCTGATGCATGGGACGCATGTAGATGATTCGATTTCTCTCAGGAGGCATTCGGAGGATTTGGTCCAGAACCTGCTCCATGTCCAGCTTCTTACACTGAGCAAAGTCAAACCTGTTCACTATGGGGGCGCGCTCTATCTTCAGGTGCTTCAGAACACGACACCTGGTGGCTGCAGAGAGGGAGAGAACAGAAACAGACTTTTTAGGACCAGAGACGACTGGACTGCAGAAAAGCTTCATTATTCATTCTGTCAATAATCCTCAGAGGAGAAGAAAAGAATCTGGTTTATTTATTCAGAAAACGCATCAGAGTCTTTCCTTTCCAAAATGGAAGAAAGAGGCAGAATCTGGACGGACCAATCACAGCAGAGGAGGCTAACGCCACTTTATGCCTTAACAATAGAGTTAAATGTACTAGAGGAGCAGAAACTCAATGAGGACCAGCAGCAGTAGAACTTCACTATATATCATAAATACAGTTATGAGATAAAACCCTGACAGGCCAGGAAGCAGACCAGGAAGCAGACACGGAAGGAAAGCAGACCAGGAAGCAGACACGGAAGGAAAGCAGACCAGGAAGCAGACACGGAAGCAGACCCGGAAGCAGACCAGGAAGTGAAGCAGACACGGAAGCAGACCCAGAAGCAGACCAGGAAGCGAAGCAGACCAGGAAGCAGACCAGGAAGTGAAGCA